AAAGGGATTTTGTGTGTCACATTCGTTGAAATAACAGACGAAATAGCGATATCTTAATTGGTAGCTCGCGATTATTTCATGAATCAAGGATTTCATATGTGTAATGGGTGCGAGCACTGAGTATCACGTCGCGCAAGTCCAATTTAACGTGTAGATAGTGACATTGGTTTAACGTCACGGCCTTCCACGTTAATTATCTTACCCGATAGTGCAATCTACGATTAAAGAGCTACGGGAACGTATGTGCGCACAGTCGACGAAACTATCGTTAATTTCTGATTATCGGTTGAACACACACAACAGGTACCCGTCCCGACCTATAACGTGAATCGGAAAAGCTTGACCGAGTGACGACAGCATGAATTTGCCATTTCGCTCGTTTCGATTCCGTCCACGAATTAGCCTGGCGCGTATTTTCAGAGCGACGGCGACGAAAATAGAAAATGCCTCGTTCGTGGGAGAGATTCATTAGCTAATCTGTTCCGAAGAGCTCTCTATTTCCTTCGGTATCAAAGGATGAATCGGAGGTAGGACGAGGCGAGCGTTGATGCGAGTTTAAAGTTCGCCACCTGGCCGAATCAATACGCCACGGGCAAAAAGAGATAGGAACCGTGAAACGGGCTGAGACTGGGGCTGACGGATGGGAAAAGAAAAAGAGAAATGCCCCGCTCTTCCGTGTTGTCTCCCGTCCTCCTTTTCCTGTCCGCGCCGGTGAATGAAAACTCCATCTAACGGAGTGGAGAACGATCGACCCCCCTCCTCAAGTAGACACGCTAATAGACCCGAGTAATTCATATCGTCCCAGCTATTTTCTCGTTAAAAAGTTCTCAATAAACCGCGACCCTCTCGCGATACGCGCATTCCCTAAGGACCAATGTATTCGCAAAATAAATCTCATTTAATCGCAATTACGCACTTAAGTATCGCTGATTTCTCTTTTTCGAGGGATTCATTCAGGTTTTTCTTTGAGATCTAGATGGTTCAAGGAGTATTGATTCGTGCTCGCTGGCCTGTGCCTGACATCACGATCGAGTATCAATTATGCGTGAGCATAAATTGGGTTAAACCTCTAACAAACGTCAAGTGATAGCATCAGTCATTTCCATGTTGTAGGATAGCGAAATTTTTCTTTTTATCGTCTTCGTTACGGTTTCGTCGGCTATAAAATGTCGTAGATATTTTAAAAATAAGCGTTGACTCGTGCACAAACGAATCTTCAAGGTAGAGTAAATTAACAGGAATCATTTAAATCAACGAACCGGCAATTGAGAGCTAACGACCAGCAGAGCAAGTTTTCCTCGGAAAACTTTTCTCATTCGAGAATAAATAGAACTCATTGACACGTAGAACTTTAATTTAATATTTAAGATGCTATAATTTAAGTATAATTTATTGGACGAGTTGTTGAGAATTACTAAGACCAGGTGAAACATGTTTGTAAACAAGAATAACGACGTTCCAAGTCTGACGGAAATCATCGTGCCGCCAAGTACGAGGGAATTTCTGTTCCGCGTGCGATGATACCGGAAAACGATCACATGTTTCACCGTATGGTGCGCGCGCGTCGCTTCAACCCTAACCTTACGATATAACCTTACTTGGATAACGGACGATCCACCGGCACAATACGAAACAGAAATTCGAAGTTACATAATACAAGTCTAGCGCTTGTACAAATAAAATGTTGAATGAATTCCATTCCCCTTCCTGATCCCGAATTGACTGAAAATCTCACGATGACGAGCTCCATAGCTTCAAAGAATTTAAGAAGATGCTTTAAATGAATATCACATAGATCTTTTAGACAATTTTAAAATAAATGATTCGCAGTCGAGTCAAACGACCTCCAAGAATATTTACAATTTATAATCCAGAAAAACCATTTTTCTTTCGGTCTGCTAATCGTGTTACGTCAGAATTGATACATCAAACAATTCATATTTATAATCGTTTAATAAATACGTATTTTAACGAGCTCACGAGAGGGAGGCGATTTATGTAATTGCATTACTTAAATCTTGAATTCACTAGTCTCGGTGACGTTTTAAAATAAGTTTTTCGAATGTTACAGATGTCACACCATCGGAGCAGGAGGAACTGTTTATCCGAAAGCTCCGGCAATGTTGCGTGACCTTCGATTTCATGGATCCAATGGCAGACCTCAAAGGGAAAGAAATTAAACGTAGTACACTCAATGAGCTCGTTGAATACATAACGGCCGGACGGGGTGTTCTCACAGAGCCTGTGTATCCAGAAATCATTAAGATGGTAATTACATTAGAAGAATCAATTACTACGCGGCTGGTTCACGGAATATTTTCAATATGATTAAACGTTTGTTCGAAGATTTCTGCGAATCTGTTTCGCACATTACCACCTAGTGAAACTCCAGATTTTGATCCAGAGGAAGATGACCCGACATTGGAGGCAAGCTGGCCCCACCTGCAATTGGTTTACGAATTCTTTTTACGCTTTCTTGAATCTTCAGATTTTCAACCCGCGATTGGCAAAAGAGTTATTGACCAGAAATTCGTTTTACAGGTACCGTTCGCTATTTGCAATACATATTTTTATGTGGGAGGGTGGAAGCCAATTTTCAGCTTACACCACTGCAACTTTTACCCGTTTATATAATACTTGTTACTGATCATTATATTTGTTTCTTTTCCTTTCTATCGCCTCTCAGTTATTGGAGTTATTTGATTCAGAGGATCCTAGAGAAAGAGATTTTTTGAAAACTGTTTTGCACCGTATTTACGGCAAGTTCCTTGGTCTTAGAGCCTTTATACGCAAACAAATCAGCAACATTTTCTTGAGGTATTTAGACCGAGCGAAAGAATAAAATTCTTGAAAGCGATTAAGGATATTTTGTTTAACTCGTTCTTGTTTCGTGCAGGTTTGTATATGAAACGGAGCATTTCAATGGAGTCGGTGAACTTCTTGAAATTTTGGGTAGCATTATAAATGGATTTGCTCTTCCTTTAAAAGTGGAGCACAAGCAGTTCTTAGTTAAGGTAAGAAATATTTTAATTACGACGAATAATTGGTATAACATTATTTAATTCTCGCCGTTTTATTACAGGTGCTGCTCCCACTACATAAAGTCAAGTGCTTATCATTATATCATGCACAATTAGCTTATTGCGTGGTGCAGTTTCTTGAAAAAGATGCCAACTTGACAGAACCTGTTATACGAGGCCTCCTTAAATTCTGGCCTAAAACGTGTAGCCAGAAGGAGGTGATGTTCCTTGGTGAAATTGAAGAAATCTTGGACGTGATAGAACCTAATCAATTTGTCAAGATACAAGAACCATTATTCAGGCAAATTGCACGTTGCGTGTCTTCACCACATTTTCAGGTAACCGAGACTCGTGTCATCAGAGATCAATGCTATCGCTTTTCGATCGTTTCAATGATAAAACTGATTATTTTCTAGGTTGCCGAAAGAGCATTGTTCTTTTGGAATAACGAGTACATAATGTCCCTCGTCGAAGAAAACAATCATGTAATAATGGCAATTATGTTCCCGGCATTGTATAGAATTAGCAAGGAACACTGGAACCAGACGATCGTTGCGCTTGTTTATAATGTTTTAAAAACATTCATGGAAATGAATAGCAAGCTCTTTGATGAACTTACTGCCAGCTACAAGTCTGAGAGGCAAAAGTAAGTAGCTTCTTCTCGTTGTTCGAATGGAACTCCCTGGGAACGGCTGCTTGTGCGTCATCTACAGAAATGTCTTTTAATGTCAGAGAAAAGAAGAGAGAAAAGGAAAGGGACGAGCTGTGGAAGAAACTGACTGAATTGGAGGTAGAACGGCGTAACGCGCTCACGGCTACCTTCAACAACCCAGTTCCTGCCACGACAACACCTGCGACACGAGCCCGCCCCTGAGCTGGTAAATAAATCTACATAAAATTGTTGGTTGGACCGTTTCGTGTCACATTAAACGTATTCAAGGGGTGTTATTGGTTACAGGTGCAAGTACACTACCACGCTGCCCGATCATTAGCCCTTAGTTTACGTCGATTGTCCATTACACTACATGCAAAAAAATTATTGTTGTTGGTGGAGCAAACGTGTCTCACGAAATGGCATTCTTGACGTAATGTAATTTCTTTCATTAGTTGCGCCCGAGGGGCCAAGTAGAGAAGAGGAAAAAGGAACAGATGAAAGAATCAGTAATCATAATTTTATTCTTCTTTGACACGATGATGATTGATGAGTTCTAATATTTTTATTATGTACATTAATTTCTACTTTTTTTTCCTCTCTTTTTTCCCCCCTTTTTTTCTTTGACAGCGATGATTAAGTTGTACAATGTACTCAGTGTCAGCACATAATACGAGGATGTTAGTCCCTTGTTAACTAAGGATTTAGCTGCGCTCGGTAGGAGGAGACGATCAAGGTGTAAATTCAGATAGATCAAGTATATTGTTATAATATTGAGTTTTTGCATGTGACATTCGCTTCGGTTTCTAAATGGCTAATGTCCTCCTCTAATGACTGACCCACCTTATCTCTAATTCTCGCCTCCGACCTGAGCCAGCGGGGGCGTTGTTTGAAATGTATCATATATTCGTATTAATGATAACGATAACTATAACAAAACATAATAAAATTAGGTAAACATATAAATATATATAAATATATATAATACAATATATTATAAAGAACATAGTACTATTGACGATACAAGTCACACAATTCACACACACACACACACACACACACACACACACACACACACACACACACACACACACACACACACACACACACACACACACACACACACACACACACACACACACACACACACGAGAGACGCACGGAACTGGTGGTGAATACGTGTAATGTGCAGACCGATGTGCTACAAAATATTAACACTGCGCCGACTGCATGCCCGCAGCAAGTGAAATAAATTTTTTCAAAAGAAAGAGAGAGAGCGAGAGAGAGAGAGAGATTCGCGACCCTCGTCGCGCATCGACGATAATATTATTGAATAATAAGGTTCAGTTGATCGAAACAAAAAGAAAACTTGAAAAAATATATGTTGTTTTTTAAATAAGAAAATAAATAAATGATGAAAGATGCAAGGGGGCAAGTATACAATAAAAAAATTTAATTGTACCAAAATATCCATTGCTTATAAATATAATAAATAATAGAGATACAGTGCATAAGATTTATTCGGAGCTGTGCTCCCACAGGCCACCGGAAATACGTGGGATCGTTTTTAGAGTTTCTTACCATTGCATAATAAGAATAAACAATAGTAGTTCTTAATAAATAGACGGTTAACAAAAAATATGAGTGACTGCTTGCTGATATTTTCATCAAGTAGCCGAGAGACGTCCCGACATGTTTGTTACGTTTTAATTTCCATCCTTCTTTCGCGTTGAATGTGCTTTACCTCATCTCATTAGCATACTTTGTTCAACATACATTTATTATTATATTGTACACCGTTTTATCTCCACTTGATGAAAAGTTGGTTGGAAAATAAAAGATTCAAGTATATAATTATTGTAAATGCTGTAATGTGACTTGAGAAAAACGACACGGATAAAGTTCATAAGAGTTCTATACGCATAAATAGACACTTTATTAAATGAATGTCTAATTTATTTCTACTCTCTGATTTTTTAATCGCTGTTTAATCTAGCATCGATCGCGACATCGATCGATGGAAAATTAGTCGTGGCCTATTTTGTTTCTTCACGCACCTCTATTTCCGACGGTAATAGAGCATTTTCACGATTATTGTGTTTTGGGCTAATTTAGCTTTTAGTGTAACCGCAAACGTATACCTGAATAAGAGAAATTCTAACGATATATATTAGTATTTTTTTATATCGTAAAAGTTGCATTTGTATGACAGCATGATCACCATATACATATTTCGATTGGGCACGAAACATTTGCAAACAAGTATTTCGATACTTTGCGATGGAAAATGAAATATAATCAAAAGATTAGAACAATAGAGACGAGACATCCTATAAATACAAAACGCGAGCTACACTGTGATAGTCTATCGTACGTATTTATCGTTACAACGCAATCATTAGCGATTATATTAGTTTTCTTTCCTTGTGCAAGTTACGAATGAAGAACAAACCTCAATATATACGATTAGTCCGAATTACGCATAGCGGATATGATTTGATTGTAAATAGATTTATTAGGTATATACTTCAGATACTCGTATTAATCACTGTTAGGAACATGACAGTTGTACAGTTGATTTTAGAATGTAAAAAGAATAACATAAATGAAAGTTGATTAATTTATCCTTGTCATATTAAACGTAAGATTATGATAGTTAGCTATTCGTATAATAAATTCAACTGCAGTATTTCAATAAGGATTACTGATTATTTGTATTTTACAATAGCCACTGCTTAAACGTAAGGCATGAACAGAATATCCGGATGTGACCGTAATGCTTTTGTTTTCCTTTTTTTAACTTGCCAAATAAGAAGTTACACGGAATTTTAAAGAGAAGAAAAGTAGACTAGCAACAATTATTTGCTCAATATGTTTGCCTTGTGTAATTGAACATTTTCGTATTTTTAATTTATCATAAAGTTTGATCGAGTAGCAATTGCATTAATAAGAAACATAAATACAACAACGGTGCAATACGACTAACTGATATAAACAGTTAATTAACATAAATCGTCTAAGTAGAAAAATTCTTATTGTATAATATTGATTTGTAAAGAAACGAATATACATAAACTAGGTCCAAGTACAATTTCGTTGCATAATATACCAACTATTGACAAATTGGGGTAGGGTAGGGAAATAGGCAATTTAAAATAAAAATAGAACAGCATAGGTGCCGTCAGGACAGGCGGGAAAAAGTGGGGAATAATAGAAGATTCTCGTTTATAGTGTATTATACATTTATTTACAGAACTATTGAAGAAAATTAAAGGGAATTATACACTGAACAAGTTATCAATCAATTTTTCAACAAATTTCACAAGCATAACTATGCTTTCAAAAGTCAACTTGTCAAATTGACAATTCGTTGACAGATAAATAAAACAGAGGTATATCTGGCAGAGATCGCAATCCACCTTTTGCGATCGTAAAGCATCTCGATTAATTAGTAATGAATGCAAACGAGTAAAGTTAGAAAATGATTACTCGTACACCTGAAATATCGTCGACAGCGAGTGTTCGTTTTTTCCTCTACGGTCGTTCGCAATATGCGCGAAAACATATGTATGCACGTCAAGTGCAGCGTCCAGTTCGGAAATATTTAGGAGTAACTCGGACGTATTATCGAAACGATTTTCTATAAAAATGTAAAACGAACAACAGCTTGTCGTTGGAAACAAAATTGCACGCTTAGAATGCGTTTGTAACAATTTTAGATCTGTAGCATCGAGAACCTGCAGGTTATAAGTGCCGAGGATTTATCGATTTGACGTTCGATCAAACAATTATTCCTGTCATGTTGTCCCGAAAAAACAAGGATTTAAGGACAATTAAAGAAGGAGTTGTTGGGAAATATGTTAAGAAAGAAACTCCGCCTGAAATGCCAAGTAAGTCGTTTTATTCCTTTGTCTTCGATACTTAAAAAAGGAATGTACTTTCCCACGTTCCCCGTTCTTCATTTCTTTAATTGTCTGTCTGCTGTTTCGTTACCGTTCTATTACTCGAAATGATTAAGCAGTTCGTATATACTTTTAGTTATTAATGTATGGACTACAGAACCAAATAGAAGAACAAGGAATCGTAATAATCATCAAAGTATTCCTACTTCTATGGTAAATAGCAATCGTGCATGTAAACGTTCGTACGAGGAAATAAAAATTTATTTTTACACAGTCTATCCCGCAACAACCGAGTATGGTACAAAAGTTCGGTAACACGAAAACGACAATGAGCGCAGTAGGTTTAGGGAGTCACGAAGGGAAATACACTCCGAACAGTTCTGTTCCAGACTTGGCTCAAAGGTGGCTTGCACTCCAGAATGAGGAGACTGTACGTTAAGCTGGCTGCGAACGAGTTTATATAACTTCAAATTCATTTCTCTAGATTCGCCAGTCTTTCAGTCAACACCAGTACAAGGGACGGTCTCTCGTCCCGCACTGCAACGCCAATGTATCATTCTGGACTTTCACCTACTATATCTCACACTTATGTTAATCAGTACGCCGGATCCGAGTATCACTTGGATCGAGTGCAAACACCGCAGATGTCTTATAAACCTTTCGATATAGATTCGGGCTACGAAGAGTACAATCACTCCGCGTACCGTCAAAACACAGGGTAGAGAAACATGATTAACATTTCTAACGTTCTCAGGAATGTATATGCTTTCTTTATCTGTGTTCTTTCAAGATATAGCCGTTGTCATTCGGAACGATCAAATTCGAGAAACGAACAACAAGAAGAGCTCCCTTTACCCCCCGGCTGGTCCGTAGATTTTACTCTTAGGGGTAGAAAGTATTACATAGATCATAACACAAAAACTACTCATTGGTCTCATCCTCTCGAGAAAGAGGGTTTACCCACTGGGTGGGAAAGGATAGAGTCACCCGAGTATGGTGTTTATTACGTTAAGTAAGTACTATAAGAATTGATTATATCAATGTATCGTGCGTCTCTATTGAACTATATTGTTTTCAGTCATATCACGCGCCAAGCGCAGTACGAGCATCCGTGTTATCCTCACGAGATACAAGCTGTCCGCGTCGTGTCCCCTCCGCGTCATACGCATTTTCATTCTCACAGCGTTTTAGTCCCGGCTAATCCTTATCTGAACGAAGAAATACCCCATTGGCTATATGTATATAGCAGAGCATCGGTGGCACTAGACCGTAAATTGCGATGGGAGCTGTTTCGCTTACCGGAGCTGGATTGTTTTAATGCTATGCTTACTAGATTGTACAAACAAGAATTGGAAGAAGTAGTCATGCGTTACGAAGAGTACAGGTGCGTTAGAAACGTGCCAAGTCTTATTTACAATGTTATGTTACAAGATCTTTTCTTTCGATTCAGATCGGCTTTACTGTGCGAGATGGAGCAGAGATTAAAGGAATTGAATCCAGAGACTTCTGGAGCTGTTGCCTTGAGACAGTCTCTTCCCTGAACAAATATATTTTAAATATCTTATTACTTGATTATAATTACTTATATAATATGAATTGTTACGACGTGAATTTGAAATCTTTTTATAATTCTATTTGTGAATAAAGCAAACCATAAACAAATGTTTATTATAATTACACAGATCGACTTCCATGTACTTCACTACAAGTATTAACTTTCAGTATTTAACGTCTGTTCTTCTGATACGGATTCTGTTTTATTTTTAACAATACTGAATCCTTGTATCGTTATAAATTCTACTTCTGTATTTTTCTTCTTCATCTTCTCCACGAATCTTATTTCTGCAAAGATGTTAGTTTGTCAAACAGTGAAACTTGGAATTACGATGTAAGACATGTATCAGGTCAGTGCAAAAGTTCGTTCCTGGTACTTCAGCTTAGATGCTCGAAAATGTACACTGACACATATTAAATTTGTAACAAGTACTTGATTCCTCGTCCGTAGGTAAGTTGTCCTTCATATGTAAATAAAACACGTATATCAAGGTGTTCCATGCTGTAATAGCGTAAACTAACGCCAGACGATATCGTATTTTTAATTTATACTCGTCACTCGTCGAACGCATCCATTTGCCAAAAAGTCTCCACATTGTTCAGCCTTGCGATAGTTATTATTAAATGGGAAATGCATAGAATTGTTGGAAATGATAAATGTTCCTTAATTAAACATTTCGAAGCTTCTCAATCTATTCCGTAATTGTCAGTAGTTTTGATATACAAAAAATTAATGAATCGAACGTTGTGCAAGCACGTGGACACACAGTACACAATGTACAGCCGCAAGATGACGCTTGCATGTTTGTAAATTGGAGTTTTTAATTAAATAAAAATAGAAGCATTTGGAGGATTAATCGGCGATCGAATACGATTGCATTTTCTTACTGAGAATCTCAGCATTCTTTTCATACCCCTATCTTTGTACTTTTCGAAAGTACGGCTTTTTAACATTAGTATAATGGTCGTACTCGTATCGCAAATATATACATATACTAATATACAGCAATCACTTTGCTTTAGATTCTTATAGTTGCGTTTAATTAAATGCCATCTAAAGTTCAACTCACGATATTCTCTACACGAATACGTATACCGTATTCCAGTCAATTTGCTAATAAAACTAAGTCATAAATATAATTATGTAAATAATAAGTACACAGAAAGAATCATACAAAAAGGTCTGCAACGAATCATACGTGATGATAAAAATTGAATTTTATTTAGTTGCGTAATGTTCGAAGTGTTTAACCGGATTTCTGGCTAAGGCAGAAAGCTAGTATATAGCGTAAAGCGGTAACGCATAAATAATTGATATGAATAATTTTATGGATACATCAACCTTGAAGATTTTTCGTACCGCACAGCAGTGTTTCCTATCGGAAAGCTGGTCGCGATTGGTTGCTCGAATCCCGGAGTAGAATGGGGCAGTGGAATGGGATGTCTGGCAATCGAATAAAAGGGGAAGGAGGAGCGATTTCGCGCGTTGAGCGGATACCGAATAATTTTCAAAGAGATTCGCGAACCGCACCGTCGTTCCGATTAATCGGACAGATAATTAAACAGGCGAGTCCGTCCATCGAAGCCTAACGAAATGTCCGTCATGGGAAAGGTAAGCGAATTAATATTCCAATACACCGAAGCCGACATCGTTAGGGACGTACAAAATTCTTGCTTTTATTGCTAGCTGCTCATACGTTCGACACAATCGTTTCTTGCATTACCTCGGTTGGAAAAAGTACCTATTTCGCAATAAGACTTGTTTTCGCCAATCTTGTTTTCGATTATTTATCGTCGTTATCTTATCCCCTTGTTGGCTGCTGTTCCTCGACCGGCCTAGGGCGAGCTCGTATATGCTTCATCTCCATCAACATGCCGCTCCGAGCCGGTAAACATCGCGAAATTCAATCGAATATTTAACACGTTTCTTTCTTTACTTCCAGCCTATACTATACTCCTATTGGCGGAGTTCCTGCTCGTGGAGGGTACGAATCGGTGAGTAAAAAATGTTATATTTATTTAAAGAAGATTTTTTTTGTCAGTACTAGTAATGAACGGTGTGTCTTTGGCAGCGTTGAATTTAAAAGAAATACCGTATGATATAAAGCCAGTTAGCTTGATAAAAAGTGGTGGAGAACAGCATTCTAATGAATTCCGTGAAATCAATCCAATGGAGCAGGTACCTGCGCTTCATATCGACAATCACACATTGATAGAATCTGTGAGTATATAAATATTCATCTGTACACTCCCTCTGTCAGCTAAGAGCAATACTTTAACTATGGGCATACGATTATTCCAGTTAAATATCTTGCAATATTTGGAAGAAACAAGACCACATCGACCGCTAATGCCTGCAGACCCTGTGAAGAGAGCCAGGGTCAGAGAAATTTGCGAGGTGATTGCCAGTGGCATTCAACCTTTGCAAAATCTAGTTGTCCTGATCTACGTTGGGGAAGAACGTAAAAAGGAATGGGCTCAACACTGGATAACCAGAGGTCTAACAGGTAAACCTCTTGACGTATCGACGACGTAATGAATATGAATGAACAGATAAGTGACTGAGGTTGTTTGTTTCCAGCTGTGGAAAAATTGCTGTCCTCCAGTGCAGGGAAATACTGTGTCGGAGACGAAATCACGTTAGCAGACTGTTGCTTAATACCACAGATATTCAACGCCAGGAGGTTTCTCGTCGATCTGAGACCTTTCCCGACGATTTTAAGGGTAGACCGTCATTTAGAGAACCATCCTGCTTTCACTGCTGCTCATCCAAATAATCAGCCCGACTGTCCTCCAGAGGCAACCAAGTAGCAAGCAAGGCAGACCACCCTCTTCCTTTTCTAATTTAGAAACGGCAAGAGAGGTGGTCGAATCTATCATAGTTCCACAGTGGCAAAAGGTGATCCGACTTTATTTCGATTATGTATGAATCTTTATTTACCGTCACGATGATACTTTTCGTGATCTAAATATATTAGTTACTATCTGTACTATTTTTTAACTGTCTGATCGAATGAAGCTGTTTTACTTTCGTTGGAGCACGCACCTTTTATCACTTACGAACTATCGACGCCTTCTATTCATAACATGGTATCTCAGTGGAACTCTTACCAATAATTCGACACGATCATAACTCGAATACTGATGGGACGTCGTATCAGAGCAAAAGTTAATGCCAGATTTTTAGTACATCAAATCTGATCGTATTTATGTCCGCCGAGATACGATCTTCTGAATAAGAAGCGTCGCTACGCTTAGGTACCGAAATGGTAGAAACAGCGCACAGATAATTTTCAATCGAGTTGTATGCTGTGCCATCGATCTCCAGCGTGATAGAATAAAACAAACACTGTGCCATTTCTGTACTTATCCAGGAGATAAGGATGTTGGCCTGTTTTTCATTTTGTTATGTTTTCTCATTGGTTTTTATATACAAAACAAATCAAAATTAACAAAATTCGTCTTCGTACAGTACTTGCGATATTAATTTGTATAACGTACTGACCTATTCTAAATAGGCTCTGTTGTCTCAAGTGAAAAAGTTTACTTTTTATACATTCTACGAATAATATAATTTTTCGATTAATTTTAGCTTATAGAACTAAGGACAAGTGTTGCTATTAGGATAATATTGAATATAAACATGAAATTCTTTACCGAGTAGCAGATTTAACATCGCGATCGTACGTTATTCACGCGCATATTGAACAGATGGAAAAGGAAACGTGTAATAAGGGAATGCAGTCTGCTCAAAACTCCGTATAATGATATTGAGGAATGAAAAGTACAAATCAAATTCCTTTTTCTAAAGCTTTTACCATCGGATACGTTTTATTTCACCCTGCAAAGTGTCTCGTCGTCGGCGGTTTCAAATATAAGACGCGAGGTCAATTTGCATTTCACATACTCGGCGTTTTAAGATCATAGACATAAGAGCATAGATCGAGCGTTCAATATATTTTTCTTGACCCCGTAAATGATAGGGAAACTATGCTTCGAATGAGATTCTGTCTCTCTCTTTTTCACATGCTGATAGAAAACAATTCTCTCGATTCTTCCGTTCGTTTTCCTTGCCTCAGGCCAGGTTTAAGCGGTTGAAGCCCAGCTTCAAGTCTTCTACTCGGTCTATTCTCATATGTCTATGCGTGAGATAGGAAGGTGTGCTCGATTTTGATACGTGATATAAACTCGTGACAAGCGCGTGTGTCAGTAATTTTCTTAAACATTCCGCAGATAGTATAGAAAAAGGAAATAATGTAGAAGCCTCAAATGTAGTGTAGGAACCGTATAGAAAATTTGTAAGACATCTTTACCATCGTCAACATTGAGCACACACAACGAGACTTCACATATATTTTTCGCAACGTGTAATCTTTATATGGAGATACATTTTTTATCGCCTATATTTTATAACTTCCATATATTTTGTAGTTTTATACATGAACGATACGTTTATTGCGCGACGAAGGCCACTAACGTCAATAACTTTTATCTATCGGCATCGTTCCTTATTGCCGGGTTCCTTCTTGCCGTTATACTTTCCACGAAAGTGAAGAAACGGCTTCGTACGATGAGAAATTCCAATTAGCTTGTCTCTCGCTTCTACTACGAACGGTCGTTTCATACCGCGTGAGAAGAGAACGAGGGGCGGGGAGGGGGGATATTTGTTTGCATGCTTCTTCCAAGTAGACGATTAGAGATCGTTTGTAATTTATATTCTAAGGGGGGGGAGAGGGATAGAAGGAGAGGAAAGAACAGAGATATACATTTCATATTTAGACGAGTGCATTATGCAAGCGGGTGATTAGATAATAATGTATATATAACTTTTATACAAGACAAGTTCGAGTGTTGCATGCAGACAACAGTCTCCACTCGGTGAGTCGCTAGATCCTCGAGAGCTCGTATGTCTTACAATATTATATTATAGAGTTTATATAAATATAGTACGCACAAAGAAAGAATGCAAACAAGTAACACCCTTCGAGCATGAATCGCACAAAATGATTTCTTCCTTTCCTCGTCGACTTCACGACGCGATGGACAGCTGACGTTGTGATTGTATAAAGGAGAGCCTGATTTTCGTATTTCTTTTTCTCTGACGCGTGATGTATCGTAACAATTATAAATGTACGGCGCAGGAGAAATGGACAATTTTCGTGAAGGAAAAACGAACCCATACCTTTGGCGTAAGGTAACGAAAATTTGTCAAGTGTACAAATATTAATTGCATCGGGCAAACAGTCGATTCGGTGCGATGAAAATGAATTCTCCATTTCTCTGGGGATTATTTTCTTCTTCAAGTGAGAATAGCTGTACGTTTAGCGTACACCGCTTCTACCCATTGCCAGCTTGTTCGCGGATACATGTAACAGTAATGAATCAGAGGATATTCGTTTACTGAATAAATGAAACGAGAAATTATTGTATAGTCGAACAAACTGAGGGCGATGAGTTCATTTTTACCAATGGTCCTAAGTAGACTTTGATTAGCCGTAAAACATGTTTGTAAGAGGATATGCGAGACCTCGTAGAATGAGTAAACACGGATCATGTATAAATAATAACAAACGATACTTAATTAAGGAAACAAAAAAAAATAAAATACAAATGATTCACCGGTCTGATACGCATAGAGTATTTTGTAAGTGAAAACGAATTATGTACGTTCATTGCTTATGAGGAATAATAAATTCTGTGTCATATATATATATATATACACATATATATATATATATAGTGTATGTATATTGCTTTGTAGATGCGAAGCTAACGAAATGCTGTCAAACAAACTGCGAGTACATTTGTGAATGCGCACTCGAATAAAAAAAGAATACGTTTTAATTGTAATCGTTTGTAGGAGATTTATTAACGCGCTGAAAAAAAGGATGACACAAATAAACGTGAGAGAAAAGCGATTAAAAGAAAAACACAACTTACCCAATAAAAGGAGTCACGCAATACGTACTGAAGACCTCATCGACAATCTTATACTTTTTTTTTTCTATCGTCTGTCTGAACTGGAGTAGTTTGACTTTCGTTTTCAATTATCTTTATTACAAATCCATCGTGTAAAAAAATACATTCCTTTATCTATACTGACTAGTTTGAATAGCACCTTTCTTTGTTTCTTTTGTACGCCGAAATGCATCGGGGAGACGCGTCGTCCCTCTTTGGAATTACACCGTAATTATTACTCCGAATGATATGCTATTCCGAACACGCGAGATACACTTTTAACAACAACAAGAGCGAAGCGACAAGGCTCGTGACAGAGGAACGGGAATACAATTGAAACACGACCGATTAATCATTAATTCGAATCCTGGCGGTACCTCTGTCGTTCGAACTCTGGAATACTGGACATCTACTCTCGCAACATCTTCCGATTCAACTCGCCTCGAGGTAAACCGGAGATAACCAGATACACGCTCACTTGTGAGTATATACAAACACGCATCTGTTTTCCTCCGTTGTTGATTTTCGTTTTCAATGCTTCTCTGTTCTTGTGTACGCACATATAAAAAACAGACTTACAAACTACGATCGAAATTACATCGTATTTACAGGTACCGCAAGCTACCATCTAAGAAATTGTTCGATCCCTCTGTTTCCATCAAAATTTGGAAGGCTCCGAGTCGGCACCGGTCGAAACATGTTTCGCAACGCGCGAATCTAGACATCACGAATTCAGAATCCTTCCCAATTTCGACAAAATTACAATTGCACAGAGAATCAGTCGGATGTTCTGACAGAAAAAAATAGATAAAAATAGAGAGATACATAGAAAGAGGAATCTAGAAGAGAAAACGTTGCGTAAAAGAAGCAACATTGTTTTGTCGACGGTAAAAAGAGAAATTTCTTTTGTAGGCATATCCCTTCGGTGAATGAAAGAGATATAGAGAGAGAGAGAGAGTAAAAGAGAGAAAAGATATGGCGATCATACGGCGGACACTGAATGGAGAGATGGATGGATCGATGGAGCAGATGGATGGAACGTGTGTGGCCAGGTCATGAAATGAAGAACAACAGAATGCATTTAATGAGCGATTGTTTATTATGCTCTTATGGTCACTTGTCATACAGGTAACGATGCTTTCTCATGAGTGAAAATAGTTAATATATTATGTTTAATATTTATAATTATTTAACATTGAATGGAATAACTCTGATGATGAAAGAATAACAATTTATGGATGCAAATAAATGTGGTTAGAGTGTAAAGTAATTATTTAGAATAAATTCAAATGCTGTCAACTAGTTATACGTATATATATATATATAATCTGTAATGTGTATATATATATATACTTTTCATCAATAACAATTATAGCGGTGCCCAAGAGGTCACAATTGTCGGGTACACCCTACGTAAACTTTCTTCTTCTTTTCGATAAAAAACAAGCAGAAATTATAAAAAAAAAGAAAACATAATTGTTTCGCGTTGTCGATGAAAGAAACAAAAGATTTCGTTTTCCATCTCGAGTTTAGGCTCGCAAGCCGTGTGATGCATGCTCGTTTATCGTCGCGTTTCATCGATCCGCAGATTTCGAACTGATTTGGACCTTCCGATCGGGTGATTCCGTAATCTGAATTTTGCCACGAATAATGGTAAATGGATGTAATTATACCTTGCCGTTTTTCAGTTTTAGAATTCATGATAAAAGAACATCGAGTGCGTTCTCGTCGCTTCGACAGAGGAAATCTAAAAAAAAAAAAAGGAGAAACACTCCTCGCTGTCGATTCGAATCGAGAAAACACGATCAGCAATTTCATTACGCTTTGCTTTTCAAATTCCCGGCTTATCGCTTTTAAAGGTATCGAAACGGTCTCGTGCGTTTCCATTCCTTTGCTCGGGTCGTGTAGAGCTCGTACACGGTCAGATCCGAGGAGACGATCGGAGAGAAGTACAATCGAACGCAGAATAATAACTCTAGAGAAAAGAACGTTGACACAGCTTTTTGTGCTCGGTACAATTATAACATTTGAAGCAAGTCGTGAAACGTGGGAAGAAGTGTAATTAAGAAATCGTAAACACTTCCCATCTGCTCGCATTCGTTCTCCAACTGCGATACGCAGAGTTACACGCGACGTTTCCCATTTCTATTAACCGCATGCTCCTCTTCCTTTTTCTTTTTGTTAAAAACGAAACAACGTTACGAATGGATCATGATTACGATCTATTTCACGGACAATCGACGCGCATCGACACACACAACCAAACACGTGCATATATATCCCTTTCTTCCTAATTAGACGATTCTCAATTAATCAACAGCCCTATAGTTTCTTCCTTCTTATCCGTTCAGAGAATATTCCACGTCTATAAATATACATATTTATGTATATGTATACCCACTTATTTATGTATATGTATTCTTTTTATCTCGAGAGAACACGTCAACACTGGTTCAGCTTATAGTCACGATAATTAAATCTAAAATTCCTTAAGACCGAACTGCAAATACCTCTCGAAATAAATATACACACACATACACACATATATATATATTAAAAAATACATTTCGCTCGCCGCTATCTTGCGCATCGTTTCTCTCTCGTGTACCCTGACGAAACGAATAAGAAGAGAAGAAACCCAACGAAAGATCGACGGTGTAACACGTGCACCAGTCATTCGGGAATTAATTCGAATGACCCCGAACCGATTTCACCTGATCACTTCCTCTCTTCGAATTACCGTTCAATGATATCTACAAGTATGAATGTATATCAATGGTGCACGATTCACACTGTCGTCGTGTTCTTACTATTACTTTATAGCCAAAGGAATGTAAGGTACAATACTTGTGATCGTGTTCCATCAGTGACGAACGAGTCTCTCTATGGTACCTTTGTTTCATTTCTCTGTTTTCTCGCAGCCAGCTGCTCTTGAAATTCGTGGAAGATAATACGCTATTTTGTATCCATCTAAAACGTAACCGGCATCGTTAAATTCAGATGCGTACCCTTATCAAGGTAAAGCACAACGCGCGGCACTGCGTTTCGCGTGAAAACCCTCTAATCTTGTCGTTTCTCATCTGTCTGGCGTGTACAGGCATGCAACAATTCGCGTTATACAAGTGTACAATGTCCCTGCTCTGTGTGTCTGTGTATACCTGTGTGTGTATATGTCTGGGTGTTTGATGACGACGAGTCGTTTAATGAACATGAAAATGTGCACACCATGCACCATCCCGGTGCGCTACTTTTTGTTTACTCCTCTCGACCTAGCGATTATTAATCTACTTATACTCAACAAGGTACTTATAGTTTTTTTTTTTAAATCCTCATCTTCATCACCATTAGAATCCCCGAGCTGCTATGTGCTACTTCTACCTCGACAATAACGATCTCATTCCAAGTTCCTCGTTATTATTCTTCGCTTATTCTTTTTTTTTTTTTGCAAGATTTTTTTTCACCATTTTTTACATATGCTTACCCAAAATAATATACCGTGTATCAACAGTCTAACTCCAAGTCTCACTTGCGATAAAATAACGTTACATACACTTTTGTACAACCCTCTTAATTACACTTGACGAATTCTCTAGTCGTTTAAACACGTTCTCTTATTACATCCCCTCTGTTCGTCATAATTTATAATTTCATTTCAAACAATGTATCGTCCGGACAAATTCTTACTCGGTTGCATGGACGCCCTGCGTCTAAATAGATACGTCCTGTCCCGTCTTCGTCAGACGTTCGGTCGTTCGCGAACGAAAAGTTCTCACAGATTCAGATGCTCGGTGCGCGTTGCTATTTCGAATACGTTTCCCTGTTCGCGCCAACAGCGACAAGCTTCAATTTTTCCCTCCCTCTCACGGAACTGGGGCAGATTCGGTTCGGAAACGAATTATAGCTCGCGGAACAAGACACAGCGCGACCCGGATTAGATGGAATTTCTTCTGTATTGCATGCCGGCGCGCCGCGACACTTGATACTTTATCGGTAAATACTATGCCCTAAAATCGACTAAAAATCAGGATATTTTTTTTTCCCTTTGAACCCGTCCGTTCTCGCTACGCTCGATTATCGTCCGTCTTTTATTTTTGACAAAAATAAAAGCCTCTTTTCATTTTAATTCCACGCGTATCTCTATAATAGATAGATCTTTCTCTTTCTCTCTCTCTCTATATATATATATATATATCTTTTCTTTTTTTAATATATATATAAAATATTTACAGCCACGTGTTATTTTATATTTTGTATACTCCTTTCCTCGTTTTTTACCCGCTCGGGGGCATCGCAACGCAGATGTATATCGGTAAATCGAAAATATACAAGACGAAGCTTCTCGACAGGACTCAAAAGAAGAGAAACGAAAATATCGCGAATGAATCGATTTTATAGCGATAGCTGTGCCGTACGAACGCGACGCGATTGCACGCAAGACAGCAATGGACAGAGTTGGTTGAAAATTCTACGTGCGATCACGTTCGCAGTGGAAACCATCTGATGGCGGTCGTTTGCTTTCTCTAACAAAGTTCGCTTCTCTCATTTCCCTACGTGTATCAATTAATTTAGCTTTCTATTGTCGATCAATGCAACGCAATCGATTATCACTGTTTCCTCGTGTTTTTTTTTTACAATGCGTCTATTATGCCCTAATATACGAATACGCCTTAATGTAACGTTACATCGATTTGTTACAATTCCTTCGACTATCGTTTAATTCCCTTTATCGTTTAAACGTTTGATTATAGCGAACGATTGCAAAAAGTGGCAGTAAAAGAATTTTGTCCGGGAACGTGGCATTGTCAAAGCGTCCAAATGCACGTCTCTTCGAAAAGGAAAGCGTTGAAAGGGAACGAGATCAAAAATTGAAATGTCCGATGCACCATAGGCATCCGTCCGCAGCCCTCGAATCGTTCTCATTCTTCTCGTTCCAACACCGAGTGCGCGCGACCGGAAAACCAAGTTTACCTCCTCCTCCTCCCCCCCACCTCCTTCTCATGTTAGAGAAACTGTTACATTCTTTTACAAAAAAATTCTTTCCAACAGTAGACGTGTTAAAAGAGGTTCAAACTCAGGGTTCGCAATCATCGTGTACAATATACATGTATATATATATAATAATTAAGCTCTATCTCTCGTCATTCAGATGATCCGACGTTAAAACCTCTCGACAGCTGTAAAACGATCGTTTTGTACACAGCGGAAACTAAATAAGCATAGTATAGAGGTGTGTGTGTTTGTAATACTTGGTAACGATTTAATATATTATATACGTGTTATGAGAAATAAACGATATTCCGACTTTATTCAAAACAGACTGCTTAATCGCAGAAATATACACATCTTTAACAACACGTTTCTACCGTCAAAAACGTCAACAAGTGTGGCTGATGGGATATCAATATATGGCACTAGAGTGATTCGGGTGGATCGTGTGTGTGTGAATGTCGTGCGATAGAGTTACTTCACTTCTTGTTTATTCGGTAACGAGTCCGCGATTTAATTAACGAGCCTTTCTTTCTTTCGTTCCCCGTCCGTCCGGATTAATCAACGATTTCGCTTGATACATCGTTTATAGTTAATTTTCTCGTTCGTATGCGGCCTCAACCCTTCGCAAACCTATACCCCCCCTCCACCGCCCCCCCCCCGCGGTCCGCAACCCTCCCCGACGATCTCTTTTATCTTTTATACAGGTAAATGGATTCTGTGCGAGTGGAGTGATGGATGATGGAACATGAATTATGATGTAGCCTAGCACACACAGCCAAGTAACGTGACACGCAAGCCACTTTTGTATCGTGGGCGACGTGCGTCAAATTCAATTACATAGTTACTGTAACAATATAGTTTCACATTAGAATTGAGTCGAGTCAATGCAATTCCTACGATTCCCCTGATTACTACACTACGTCTCCACGCGTGAGAGCATAATTATTTTGTATATCTTTTTACCCATCTCTGTAAATACGTGTGTTGCGTGTTGTTATTTTTGTTATTTTTTTTGTTTTAAACATTTTTCTTTAAATCGATCCATATTATTGATTAAAACGTTGAACCTGTAATGACGACTTTTCTTGCTTACAAGAGATTTAAGACACTACCTACACATCTATACTTGGTAATTGTGTACAACTATCCACGGCGCGTCAACAACCGCTCTCTCTCTTCCTGAGGCGCCGCGTTATCATTTAACGTACCACTTGATTCATTTACTTGGAGAACGGTTAGAATGAACTCATTAACTCGGAGACTGTACAAAAACAAAGCGTGTGAATCAAGATTCGTCTAAACGTATGGCGACTGCCGGCTCGACGACGTAATCGTGACTCTCGCAAGTCAAACAACTCGTAGGTAACACGAACTGGCCAACCAATACTGTTTTGCCACATTGTATAGAGGTATTTCGCGTATCCTCCCCCTCTCAACCCCCCCCCCCGTTCAACAATTGTATCAACGCGCGACAATAAAATTTAACAAAACAATGCAACAGGTAGACTCTGTAGAGATATCTGACAACGTGGAAACGATCGACGGTCCCACGGCGAATCGTGGTTTCGACATTTCGATAAATTCCCCCTTTCCTATCTCGCGTGTACATATATCTAACAGGTGAATACATGCGATCCGCGCGACTCCGTTTACGCGTTTACACTAATCGTATAGACGCACGTGAATCGCTAAAGGAAACGTATTTGTGTTATACTGGCTGATCTTTATGGCTTCGGAGAATGGACATTTGATAAAAGAATTGCACGTTTAACATCGACGCCACCGAGTCATTATATATATGTATATCATTTTTTTTTTTTGTTTAACGCTATCAATGTATCGTGGCATTTTTCACGTACTGGCAGCTGATCAATAAAATCCTCCCGTCTCTTCCTAATTACAGCTAGCCTTATAATAATCTGTTCTACTAAGGAATGTGTTTACTGAGAAAAACCGTAACTTAATCTAATCATCTCCTGCTACCTACAAGTTGTTTTCCATACTCTTGTCAGAGACAAGTTCTTTCAGGAAACATCAACGATTCGTTCTCGGATATCGAAATGATACGCCGCTCCGTTAAACGTGATATCGGATGAAATGAAGTGGTAAAAAAAAGGACCGAAAATTCCACGTCGCGATAAAAGTCTCGTTCCAACAAGATCAATTTAGGTGCACTAGTATAAAAATGTTTGACGAGAAACTAACGTGAATGAAACAGGTATAAAAATGATCTGGTGCTGATCTCGAGAAATTTTGCCCCGCTCCAAATCATTTGGTACCGGCAGTCAAAAAACGCGAGTTCATATAAAATAGAAACAAGCAAGAATGTGTTATGATAGAATAAAATTAAAAGACCACCGATGACAGACCTAATGTGATGATGCGGATAGTTATCCAGGATCGCTGCTATCCCTCGGGACGTAGCGCGCAGAAATATTATGCTGCCATTAATATAGCGCGAGGCTATTAAAATAAAGTGATTTATAAATTAAGTTAACGCCAAGTGTGTATGACATTTCGTAGTATGTTCGTTCCTTCCGTTTCTTTAGAATATTAACTATCTACAGCAAACTTAATAATAGATCGCGTCTCCATGATCTCGTTTCACGTTCGATCCGACGGAACCAAGTTCAATAGAAGATGATTCGCATACAATTTATGAATAAACATAATAATAAAATTACGTTTTACGTTCGCGGACGCAAATATTTCGTCAACAATGTTTATAATATCATTTTTCATTACTTATATTATAATCTTTCATATATTATTATATTCATAGAATCTATACATGTGTATACATATATAAATATAAATATACACATGTACGTCATTTATATTTTCGATAATATGAATTCTCTTTTATCAATAATCTAATTGAAACTTTTCATGTATATATATGCATCTTCTTATTATATACATATATATATTATATACGTATAACATAATATATAATATATATATTTATCTCTCTCTCTCTGTATATTTTAATATATTATTACTCGTGTTATGCGATATTTATGAATATACAATTGTTATTTTTTTTTAAAAGAGCGGTGAGCCAGCGCCTCCAGCTATCAATTGTACTCGTGTACACTTGTATATTTCAATTTGACGCTACAGCTAACGTTCCTCACGAGATACTTGGACTAAACCCATTATTGATTATCGCCTATCCCCTTGTATCGCCCCTTCCTATGTACCTACCCTCTCGAAAACAGAAACTCAATGATTTAAAACGTTATTTAATCAGATGCTGTATCCTCGTTCTCGTCTAGCAACAAACTATAAGCTGTATTTGCTCTCTTTTCCTTTTCTAGAACATTGACGATCGTTATCAACGTGAAATTTCTAGCTAAAATCGATTCCCCTATTTAAAGATTTGATTCTGATGTCAAAGTGCGATTGTTAAAAACGTGTCAAAGATTTAGCTGATTTATACAGAGTCCCACGTAAAGCAGCATCATACAGAACCCAAGGATGTATGACGTGACTGCTAATCACGGCAGATAATTTTCTTCGGAATCGAATCACCATTCGATATACATTTTGCATGACGAGTTAATCATCGCAAACGGAGAAGTGAAACGGTCGCTAGGCGAACGGAATATTTTCATATCGAAAGATGTCTCGCGATTACCTCAAACTATTGAAAACAGATGTGTATATAAATATAAATATCTCTATACGATAAAAATAGTTGGATTCGCGTCTCTATAATTATAAAGGAATGACAGAAAACAGTGTCCCGACTCGTAATGTAAAATTGCGATAATTGAAATTGTATTCAACTGATGTACCTTGAAGCTAAAAATAATTAGACGATCGTTTTAATATAGAACGTATCTAAAATCGCATTATAATCATACCAAGACTATTTACCCGAGAGGATCTCCTCGATCCGATGATGAATCGAGCGATTCTTATCCTAGCGCAATGAATTCACCGTTCCTGAGGCGTGCGCAAGGAACAATGATAAATTTATGTTTATATACTCGGTGTGTATATTAATCTAAACACTACAAGATACAAGTCGGATGAAGAGAGATTTTGCGAAATAAACACTTTGGGCTTCAGAATAAAACTTGGCAATAATGTATTACGTTAATCGTTCGACTGGACCAGCCAGTGTTGTAAATATATAAATATATGTTTATACGTAGAATAACTCTCTCCCTTTCTATGTATATTCATCTTGCAGCCAAGTTATCTCTGCTTTACACATGCAACATCTTTGGTTTTGCCAAGGTATTACTCTGTACGCAAGAAACTCTCGTTCGAATAGCCATGTTAAGCATTATCAAACTCGCTTGAAACAGCCTAATCATTTAATAGTTCAAGGAACAGTTCAATACAACGATCGTATCTCGGAGAAATCATGCTTCGTGTGTAAATGAATAGAATTTGACCCGCGAGGTGCACGTTTCAAGGTACTGAATCCTTTGTCAGATTCGATTTATGAGTTCTGTATGACCCTCTAACTAAAAGTATCTCTCGCGTTAGTAATATGATTATGCTCCTATACAAAAAAAGAGAAAAAAATAGAGTTATCTTTTACGGAACGAAATAATTGTCGTCGCCTCGAAACGTTTCGAGGACAATCATGGCCAAATTGTGCCATTTCATTACTAACATAATTATAGTTTTATCATGCCTTCTCTCAATAATCCTATACCATATACAACTAGATATACTATATGACTCTGATGTGGTACGTGTGTTATTTGTGATAAAGCCCCGTAACGTGGTGTATCACAGAACAATTGTAGTAGTTTATCATTTAACATGTAATATTTATATATATATATATATACATATATATGTGTATATATATGTATATCATAATAATCTTAAAAGATGGATAAATGTCGACGCGAACCATGATCGATGCATGAACAAGTGATGTGATAATGCAAGCGCTATAGTGATGTAGCGACAAAAATGACAACGGGTGGTAGGTGGCAAGTGGACGAGTGTGTCTCTGTGTGTTTTCATGTTCTTTTCAAGAAGGGAAGAGAGAGAAGAGCTACCGTTAACATCGTCTCAAGACGCGAAAAGATGGATAACGGAGCCCGATAATGGGGATGAACAAAAGTGCTGTACTTGAAATCAATGGATCATATTGGCGAGGGCGTTCTGACGTGCTCGTTTCGCTTCCTCTTCGCTGATCCTCTGCTCGATCAAATACTGAGCAGTGCCGATCGCATTGGGATAACCCGTGATAGTCACTATGCGGTTCCTAGTACCAGGAGCGAACATGCCCTTCTTAGAGATTTGTATGTTGGCGCCACTTAGGTGCTGAATCTCAATGAGGGCACGACCACCGGGTCCCAGAATAGCTCCCACTATAACCTCTGCAATTTCTATGTCTACTTTCTTGGTCTCCTTGTTGTTGGCGTCTACCTGTGTAGGACTCTTACTTACAAGTGATAACTGGTTAGTGCCCAGGCCAAACGAATTGTTGTTTAGATGAATAGCGCTGGCAGCTGTGTTGTTTTGTCTGAACGGATCAAAGGGCTCGTATCTGTCTAGTGTGTTACGTGGTGTGGGAGACGTAGATCCGAGAGCAGGAACTGTCCCGATCGGCCCGAACACGCCACCATTGTTGTTCGAACCGTTCGCGGTCGTGGTGCTGTCCATCGGATTCCCGAGGTAACTCATGCTGGACGGCATCCCGATGCCCATCCCGAGGAGATTATATTTAGCTAGTGTTGCGATAGCAGACAGAATTTCGCTAGCGGCAGGCTCGGAGAAGCCTGCCGTTCGTAGATTCAACTTTATATGTTCCAAGAGCTGCGTTGTCACCGGTGCTGTACCTGCCGTGATCGCAGCTCCCAGGTTCAAGTTCAAGCTCAAACCAGCACCGTTCAACAGGCTCACTGCAAACCAGAACCAGTTTCACTTCAGTACGATCTACGTCGACATTCGTGAGAATATAAATAGGAAGCGCCGATACATCTGATAAATTTTGATTTATGAACGTCCTCACCTGTGTTAATTCCAGCTGTGGAAGTGTACGTAGGGGTGCTTGTAGGTGCTTGAGCGTAAGGACTGCCTGTGGGATTGTAATTAGCTACAGGACCGCTGACATCTGCGTAACTGACGTTCGGGCATGTGCCACTTTGCGGATCGTCCGCCACTTTCGCTAATATCATCATCAGCGCGTTGCGGTTATTCTCTTTCTCTCCGATTACCGTTATACATCTCTCTTGCAGAGACACGTCCTTCGCCTTTTGACTAATTTGTACATACGAGCCGGACTCTTCTTTTATTTGCTTAATGTAATTTCCAGCTTTACCTATTATCATCCCTGCAGTACTATTAGGTACCAAAATTTTTACCTGAAACATGACATGGACCGTCTCGTAAAATTCATTTCGTTCAAACAGCCGAGACCGTAGTGCATGCGAAACAGCAAGTATCTGTACCTGTTTGTCCCTCTCTGCAGTAGTTTTTCCCGATTCAAAATCGACGGTCGTCTTCAGTGTGAGGTCTGGTTTTTCACGAATCTTGTCCATTATAAAATCCATGACCGCCATTATAGCTTCCAAACTACCCGTAATTAAACACACTCTTTCTGTTGTCCCTGCAGAGCACAGGATTATTCGTAAATATCTTTCTTCAAATGATCGGTCGCGAGCGAACGTGCTCTATGTACCTGGATAGAAATCATGCGACTTAGACATTTTGACCCGAGCTCCTGTATCCTTTTGTAGTTGGGCAATTGTGTCCCCTCCCTTCCCAATGATTGCTCCGGCTGCCACGCCAGGGACCAATACTTTGAGATGATATGTTCCATCTCCCCCTATGAAACACAAAGTCAGACAATGACTACCCTGTCTCGTTGAAAACTGGTATTAAAAAATCGTAAGCTACGTACAACGAAAAGTTATTCAAGCATTTAATGAACGTAGTGAAAGAAATATATCGAGGGGGGGCGGGGAGTAAACGGATTAATGTCTTTCAAAACGTTTCTACCCGAAAGTCGCAGTGACAGTTTGCGCATAATATTTTCAGGGACCCCAGAAAAAAGTTGTGATTTCTTTCTGAATCAGTGGAGAATGCGAAATCATGCGTACTCGCGGGCACGCGAGCGCGAAAAGAGAGAGGGAGAAACGTATGAACGAAAAGGCAGAGCGTGCGAGGCCACGAAAGAAAAACCGAGCCGCTCGATCGAAGCGTACGTGGAATTTGGCAAGTGCAATGCGGAATATGAGACCAAGTTTCGATGCGTCGAAAGCAAACAGCTGTTTGACAGATGGAAGCCCTGTGCGCTCGCTCGGTTCGCATCGACCTTGACCCGCAACCTCAGCAGCGGAACGGTGTGTGGCTGACAACTCACCGATACGCCACATCCTAGTTACTGCCACTCACAAACGGGGTAGCCAGCGCGTTCCTTTAGTACGCCGCTTTCGCGACAACGGCGGCACTGCACTACGGGAGAATGCGCCAAAGTAGACGATATGCGTACGGGATGGGACGAGGTGTACCAGGAGCCACTTCCGACGTTATTGCCGCGAGGCTACCGTTCGCACGTCGCCCGACGAAACGGTCGCAACGGTGACCAAGTTGCAGAGTCACGAACCGTGATCGACAGCCACCGCAACCGCGATTCTCCATTAACGATGTTCACAAACACGGGCCGCCTACGCAGGGACAACGATGACGACGGCCACGATGACAGAAACCGACGACGACGACCACCGCGACGACATCGAAGGCCAAGAGGCAAGATGAAGACGAAGACGAGCACAAAGTAGACGAGATAGGGGAATAAGGACGATGTTGACGATGACAGCAACGACGAGAAGGGGGTGGGGTACAGGCGACGGCGAATATGAAAACGACAATGACAATGATGACGTTGACGAGAATAAAATGAACGTCAGCGCGTAGGTACACGGCTTACAGGTGTCGCGGTACGATGTTTCGCGCTTCTTACGATGTCTCGGAGCAGGAGATGACGGTGTTACGAGGACAAGAAATTAAGGAGGCGAGAGATACGGGAAAAGAGAAGGAGACGTGGCACGAGAGGATGCGCGAACCGCTGTGCGGTGCACCGTGTTCGCGTTCTCGCCTTCGTGTACACGTTCGCCAGCCGTTCGAAGTGGGAAACGAAAGGGAACGGCCACAACGAGCGAGCGGTGCTGCTGCTGTGTCAACAGCAGCACCAGCGACGAGATTGTCAAACGCGCGCGAGAGAGTAAAAAGCAGTAAAGGGGATGGAAACAGAGAAAGACGGAAAAAGAGTGAACGAGAGAGCGAAGGCGAGATTAAAAGAAGGAGACGGAAAACGATGGAGCGAGCGAGAAAGAAATTCATCGTGAGTGGCTTTATCGTTGGTATACGTGTATATGTATGTAGGTACGTCGACGGAAGGTACGTAGAGGAAATTTTCGTGACCGTCGCGAGAGAAACGATTGACAACGGGCAATTGAAATACCTGATCCATAATGGGACCTCTTCGTCGCACCATTTTCCGTGTCACAATCGAGTGGCCGCTTCCTGGAGTCTGCAATCTCCGGGGAGGGACACGTCTCCATTCCTGAGTCGGCAGCCATCTTGTCTTTTCGGTCGGGCACTCCAAGAGCAACGAGGAGAGAGAGATAGTGCAAGTGAGAGGTGTACTTTGACACAGAGACGATAGCCGCGACCGGTGGCAAGTGTCGTTGAAGGCGACCGATGGGAGACGCACCACACACGGACCGGACGAACGAATGAACGTACGCACGATCACGATAGGTTTAAGCGGAAGGGAGATGACGGACATATAGACACACGTATAGGCGAACGAACAAACGACGAAAGCCCTCGCGGGGTACACCGCGTCTCACTGGCGACTGCTCGCGGCTGCCTTGCCAACCAGCTGGTTGATACTCGATGTGCTGTGTGCCTCGGCCCTCGCGTTCCTCTCTCGCCCTCTCCGTCTCGCTCGCTCGCCTGTATCAGCTCCAATCGCCAGTACGCCTCGCTCCTTTCCACCAGCCCTCGCGGGCTCCGTTCCGCAGGGACGTACCGTCCGACCTGCACCGGAGGCGACTCATTCCGGGCCCTTGCGCATTCGACGCGCCGACACTTTCCATCCTTCGACGAAGAAATGCTCGAGCTCGACAGAAACGAGTCGCTCCTTCCTCTCACGCTCGTTCATCTTATCGATTCAATGCCCAGTTTCCCTTGATTTATAACCCTTTTTCAAATTGCCAATTACTACTCGAACGTTACATTACATAATCTTTTATTGCGTCTTTTGCCACTTTTACTGCTTGTCTCACCGATTTAACGTTTCGTAACAAACAATCCGATAAACGGTTCCTAATGCGCATCGTGAACGATTTATCGCGAATCGACGTAAGATCAATGAATCGTTACCGATTAATTTCCCTGACCTGCTGACCGTCGTCCTAACTCGTAATACTGTGACTTACCGCGGCCCGCTGCGTTTATCGCAAGTATACGTGCATGCATGCATGTACGTACGTACATATGCGTGTAGGTAGACGGAAGAAGTGTTTTATAAAAAAATTATACTTTTATCACATGTGACAAGAAAATTTCAATGGTATAAAAGCATTTTTCCTCTCAAGGACGTTAATCTCGTCGTTAATGCGCATTGCAGTATGACATCATAGTTGATGTGCAAGTGAATAAGATCCGTTTCGTTTCCTAGCAATCATTTTAACAGTAATTTTTCGTAGCCGCTTATCAACCAATCGGTTTTTATCGACACGTACATACAAATACATGTTACAGCATCGTATGGTGGGTCAATTATTTGAATAAACATTTCTCATTTCCGGAAAATCGAATTCCCACTGAAACTATCGAGATCCACTGTTTATAATTACATATCGTCAAATGTAAACTACGAGAACAGATTCGTTATCTTCGAGTATATGAGTAAGGACTGAAAGCAAGCAAAATGCCGTGGGTTTTCTCTGAAAATGAAATCATTCAATATACACGTAAACATCGCGTGTTTTTTAGGAATATCCGTATCCGTTAGAGCCGCGATAGAATTATTTTTTTAAAACTTCATGTAAACTTAACTTCTGGGAAACCTATTTTTCGCTCGTCAACTTGTAAAAGAACATTCATGTACTTAAATTTAAGAATTTCACCCAAAGTTTTAATTTGACGAGGGAAACACAAATACTATGCTCTATTGGCTTGTAATGCGTCACGTGGTCAAAAATGTGACTCATTTTGCGCTATTCTTCTGGTATGTAGAATCCAGCAAAGGTTTGTTTCTACCATAGCAACTCGTCGTTAAACCGATAGCAATTTTCTAGAAAATCAAGGTCTTCCACCCACGTTTAGATCTAAACGAGTAAGATTGACAACATCAGTGCACTATCAGAATGTGCGATCGCGCTAACGTCCGTTGCAACACAATAGATTTTCTACGATGGGCAGAAACGAGACGCAGTCATCGTTCAAACTCGTGTACATTGTTCTCTAATACGGCTTACGTGCATTACCCGATATCGGTAGCAGTACTGTAAAATGATCGCGACGATTCACTTCTGAAATGTGTACTTTCCGAAAATACATCATATTCTTTTCTCTCTCTCTCAACGTGACGTGACTTCACTAATCAGGAGGAGTAAAGTCCGAAGTTGCAGTGATGTCAGACGATACGTAATTACGTAAATAAAAATTGATTTCAACGGTTGCAAACGGGAGGAGAGTAAGCGAGACGCTGTATCTATAGAATTCAGTCGCGTGTCGCAATGCTGTTACTGTAGTTTTGAATGCAGCCCGTCTGTGATACGAGGAGAGGAGCAACGGAACCGCGCGGTTCTTATTCCGAAATCTGTCTCATACATACAAATATAAGTAATCGAACGACTCGTCCACGCGCGTATCTCGGGTTCCCCGCCCGGACAACTTTGTCCATCCCGTAATACTTCCTGTTTATTGGCACCTCGTTTTTGTTTCAAGCGGAAGACGCGGGCATATCGTGTGTCCACACGGCCACCGCAGCTACTCCTCCCAATCCGATTATGTAGCTGCATGTAATACCGCGTATGCCGTAATGAATTTTTCGAGCGATGGGACCGCCGGTTCATAATCATTGCTTGCGACCTCGCTCCATCGCATTTCTCTCTCTTATGACACACGGTGCATGCACGTATTTCAACGACCGTCCCGACCGTTACAGAGATTCTATTAGGAGTCTAATATGTGAAAGAATTTCGATTGGAACGATAAGTACGAGCCGACCGAAAAGTTTGGTCGGCTCCAACTGGTTGATTGGGTAACGATCTTGGAATCTTTTTCTCTTATTATTGCATCACACGTCCAGCGGACCGAAGGAGGTAGCATCTCTAAATAAGTGTATATATTACTATTGCTAACCGGTTTATCATGCGATGTGATTTCCGATTGTGATACCCACTCGGTTCTTAAGTGCGTTACCTAACTGCTAAAGGAATAAGTTCCTTTAGCAGCGCGATGTCCTTGTCCCACAGCAGCTCGAGTGAACGAGCTAGATCCCTGCACTCTTTTAGACTTTGGGTTAGCAAGCTGTCCATCTATACTTGAGCGTGAACACACATTGTGCTGCACGCACGATGCATACATTTAAATGCTTATCCAAGGCCGTTGTTTACTGACACATCGGCTCGAGGCTCGTGCTACCGTTAAAATGTTATCTCGTAAAACTGCAGCTCATGTATCTTATAAGTTCCTCATCTCCAATACTCCCGATAAGATTAGGTTTCTATACATTTCGAAAGTCGAATGTCCATTCGAATCGATGTACACATGATGACGAAAAAATATTTGCAACAAACCACTCTTGACGAGTGGTTTCAGATTGAAATGCTCTCTAAATACAAGTAGCTATTAGAGATAGTTCAACAAATATATTAGTTTTCGTGCATCGGACATTATGCAAGCGGAACAGTTCCTAGCTACGTTGACCTCATTTCTGAGTTGACCTTAATATCATACAAGGTACTCCAACTCGATCTATACAGTACCTCCCGCGTTCTATCAAGTTTTTGGAAACTCTTTCACGCATAAACACTCAAATGAAATCGTCGCAACTGTATCGAATAAAATTATTAAGACATTTTTTTTATTCCTACTGCAATCATCGTTACTTCATCACTCATTAAAAACGAATGATTACAACCATAATTCCAAAATTCCAATTGCAAATTATCGAGACTCTTGGCTGAAATAAGAATTTCGTACATCTTTATAATTCTTACACTATTATTGAAATATCCATTTTTCTAAATAATTTTTTATGACGATTCGCCAGCTTGACTAGCTGGGTAGTCGAGGAAAACATAACCTTGTTCCATGTCTTCGGACCATGTATTGCTACCTTTGGGTAATCACTAATTATATAATGTGATCATCCTTGATAACTGCGCGTTTTGCGATAAAGATGTTGGAACACTTTAGAGCCTTGCACTGTCAATGCATTTTCACTTTTCGCGATGGATGACGGTGTCGTCGAAACAAAAGTGAAGATCCTATTTTTTGCCAAAGCGAGAGAAATAACAGGGAGAAAAGAAGCTTACATTACCGTGCCGCAGAAATTATCGTATACCGATTTGAAGAATAAAGTTATAGGACAATTTGATTTGCAAGTTATTCGTGACACGTTGATTCTTGCTGTGAACGAAGCATTCGTTTCTTCGGACGCGATCGTAGAATTCACAGAAAACGACGAAATTGCTGTTATTCCGCCGCTCAGTGGAGGTTTGTGTTATTTTACAATGATTTAAATATGTTAATGAGCATATGCATATTCTGTGTTTAGGATAGCAATGGATGCTCCAAAAAATTTTGTGAAACTTCAGCAAGAGGAACTGAATATTACAGATATAATCAATTTGGTAGTAGCTCCAAATTGTGGAGCTGTATCGAATTTCATTGGTATTACTCGCGACAATTTCGATAATAAAAAGGTACCTATTTGCGTTTTATTTTCGAGCCTAGAGATGTCACCAATGAGTATGTTTCTTAGGTCCTAAGATTGGAGTATGAAGCATATGAACCTATGGCATTAAAAGAAATAAATGCCATATGTTCAAAGATTCGTTCTCAATGGAACGTGCATCATATTGCTGTGTACCACCGGTTAGGACAAGTACCAGTGACCAAAGCAAGCGTGGTAATCGCTGTCTCATCTGCACACAGAGAGGAATCATTGAAAGCTGTCGAATATGCTATCAACGCACTTAAAGCATCAGTTCCAATTTGGAAGAAAGAAGTATACGACACTAAGGAGGCTCAGTGGAAAGAAAACAAAGAATGCGCTTGGTCGAATAGTAAATGATTTTTTATTCTTGTAACTCAAAGTTTTTCTTTCTCTAACAATTGTTAAATACATTTATTCCTGTTCCAAGTTTTATATTATATTTTTATGTAGATATTGTTGGAAATTTTTAATTTTATACTCAACAATGAATGTTAATAAATAATTGTACAACCGTTTACCCATTTTTTGTTTATTTTTCATAGTTTCTGATACGATTGATGTACAAGAATCAAAAGATATTACAATATCAAATGAAGTAGTAGAGACAGTAGTAGAATATGATGACGAAGAAGAGGAGGAAGAAGAACCTAATGTGATAATCGATCCAAATATCGTTCAAATTCGAGCCACACCTGATGAATTAAATCATAGAATATCGTCGTTCATCGAAAGAAAACGGCAGCAAGTGAATATCGTGAATGTACGAGAATTTTGTTGTCACAGGTCAGTCGATAAAATATACATAAATCATTTGTATATATTTTAAATGTTACGACGTTTCAGGGATCAAGACGGTGAAAGCGAAGATTCCTGCGCCAGGGTGGATGCAATACTCATTAGGAGGAAGGATTCGAAAAGTCATGTCAAAGGTAAAATAAAGTGTGTAGTTGCACTTGTAAAAATCGATATTCTAATCTTTTTATGGGAATTCTTCTTAGTGCACAGAGTTCTAAATGCATGGGGACCTCAGACAGTGGATCAACGAACTTTGCATAAAGCTATCATGTCAGGAACAGATCAAACCAACAGTAATTATTCGTCTGTATTAAACGAACGATTTTCAACCACCGAGAAAATACTCGGAATAAATCGCCCTGTTCCGAAAGACGTGTATGAGAGACTTAAAAACATCGAAGATCGAATACTGTACTTGGAAGGCATATCTCCTGAGTACAAAGACCTTTGGGTAAGATTTTAATCAAACGGTAAAATCGGATAAACATATCCACCTGTTAATTAATTATTTGAATATCTTTTATAGAAAGCAGAAGACATGAACAATCTCAAGGGAACATATAAACCAGTCAGAAAACGAGTAAGTGTTATAGATAGAAATGAGAGAATATACCGAGCGTCCAATGTATTTTTATTCACCCCGTGAAGGATGAGGGAAACATGCTTAGAACGAGTTTCTCACGTGCCGATAGAAAAAAGGATACTCTTCATTTTCTTTCTTCCAATCGGCTGGTTTCAAGCCTCCCTTTTGAACGCTCGGTCTATTTTGTTATCCATGCATTTTTCACTCACCTGACTGATATATCGTGAATGAAATTTCAGACATATTCCATGGCTGAACTAGATTCCAAGCTGCATGATCTGGAAGATAAATACGTAAAGAAAATGAAATAACCTTTTGTACAAATTTCGTAAAAGACTGATTGAACTTTTGTATATCATTAAATAAATAAACAGTTTATTCTTTGTATACCTGTCGATCTGACATCGCACACGTCTTGCCGAAGTATATTAATGCTTGTAACGGATCTTGCGCGCCAATCTGTCAAGCAGATGATTTAGGACTAATAAATCATTAAAATTCGATATTCGTCGTACAGTATCGCGATGAAAGGCAGTGTCCTTGACTGGCTTTAACTTTTGGACAGGATTGTACACGAGTTTACAGTAGTTCGTATTTCAGTTGATAGAGGCAGTCTTCGTCGTGATGCCATACGGTATGGCCGCGGTCCGTCCAAGTTTTCCCTTTATCCCGATCACGATTTGAACTAAATCATTAATAGTAATGTGTTGTACGTCCGGGAGTTCAATGAAAACTGGCCGTCCCACCGAGTGCTGGTGAGTATTATCAGGATATTTTCATAAACGCATGCATCCCATTGTGTTTGCCGAGCACGCGGCCCGCACGTCGTCTGCCAGGGTGACAAGCATCCTATTTCCTCTCACAGCTGAGCCGATGGACCATTCAATTCTGTCGGTTTTATGGTTTTTACGTTCACTCGCTTCCGCGCGTCAGTTGCACAACGTTTTCTTTGATATTTCAATAATATTTTCCCTCGACTTCGTTCACTGACATTAAGCCGAACGGATTGTAATCAGGATCAAGGACAAGTGTCCTTAGTTTCCAGTGAATTTTTCAGTTTTGGCCATCTTGGAGATTTTCGGGTCAGAGAATAATTTCCCATCGAACGATGCTCGATGTACATTTTGGACATCAACACCCGCTTCCTTCGCTTTCCTCATCGAGAAGCATCGTGTATTTTTAAGCGATCTATTTCCGTCCTGGCACATGGGTTTCTTTTCATAGTCTTAAATGTTAACTAACGTCCAACTGACGTCCGGTGACATATCGCAGATACATAAACCCCCGTCTTTGTTCGTAGAAACAATTGCGTCCATTTTCGAGACAAAGCGTAACAACTCCGAATCGTCGATCTTCTTCAGTAAAATGCCTAAACTATTCGGTAATCAATTTCCACAGAAAGAAACCGAGCGCACGTGTCATTTCCATTGTGCTGCACTGATAATCCCTTGCTAGCAGTGCAGAGAAAATTATGGAAACGTACTTAGACGGTAGCGAGATATCTATCTTGATTTATGTACGAGCGTGGAATGGTTAAAAGAGAAAACCGGGTCGTGAGCGCTACCAGAACAGAAAGAATGCGATTCGAAAACGCGAATTTCTTTCTTAACGATGTTTCGACATTTTCTTTCGACTCGGCGAGCAAGAACCGTCGCTGCGTAATTGAACGTGTTTCAAGGGGTTTGCCGATTCGGAAACCCTTCGCCAGAACGGGGTGCGATTAAATTTACACGTGTACGTCAGCGTTCGAAAGAGAACGGACAAGTACAATCGCGTAGTTTTAACAATTCATTCATGCAAATTCCGCGGCAAACGGAACCTTTGATACACCGGAGATTCTCTTCACGTGGCAAGAGCAAATGCCCGTAGGCAGGGAACCTCATTCACCTTCACTTTTAAATTCATAAAGAGTCTTTCGCGAATATCTCTTTTGAATACCATTGCTTATAATCGCAGATCTTTTAATTGTCGCATCGATAAATAAGAATTAAAATTAACTCGCTGGTTAGAATTTCGTTTAATTAGCCTGACTAAATAATTTTTATTTTTAATTTAGTTAGGTTTGAATTAAACATCAAACGTTAATTGTGTAATTCGCATTCCATTAAAGTAGAAGTTTAATTCCTTACTTTCGAGTCTGGATTTTACTGATTGTGAAACGTAAAACTTTGAATCGATCGAACGTGATATGAATCTCGAAATAAAATAATTGACGTGATTATCTCAGCGACCTCGTGTACTTCAAAAAAAGCATAATCATTCGATCGTCAAATACCGGAAGTGATGAGGGAAATCTTATCACAAAAAATGTTAATACGTGACTGTCAATTTAGATTTATACGTGTTTATTATACAGAATGACTTTGTGGGCCGTTAAACTTTCGTAAAAACGGGTGTCATCCTCCGGCAAAAAAGTGAAACATTCTCTTCCGACCCAAACATACATACTGCGCACTTATTGTCGACGAACTTTGAACAACGTTCCAGCTTCTGCGTATAAAGAACAAAGCGTTAGAAAAAAAGGGGTGATGAAACGAGGCAACTTTTCCAGCCGGTTAAACGTTTTGCTTTCAAACCAAGCAGCTTTCGTTTCATTTCTGGAAGTATTGGAGGAACGATGATCATGTTCAATTGTCGTTAGCTGGAATTAATGATGAAAAATGCGTAAAGATCGGATTTGGGGACGATTGATGCGTGACAAATTCTGATCAACCGGCACGAAAGGCTGTACATTTAAGAATGTTTTGGCTATACAATCAATCCCAACAGTTTATGCTCTTTAGAAACGTATTTTTTAAAAAGAAATCAGACGTCGGAAGAACATTGCTAATAATAAACAACAACAAACATTTTACCCCTTCAAATTTCGCGAAATTTTCGTTTTTTGC